AGCTCCTGAGCCCAGCTGTGCCTGAAGCAAAGCCTGCACCTGACCCTCCGATTTTACCAACTACTCCAGTGTCTGTTGTCACTGTTCAAGCTGGCTTGAGATCCCTGTGCCTGTGGCAGGGCTCTAAGTGACAGGGGTCACACTGTCATCTCCAGGACTCCCTGTCATTCAGGGCTGGTCGCAGCACGCAGTGGAGGACCTCTTTGACAGTCACCTTCACAGGCACCTTCCCAGAGTTATAAAAACAATGGTAAAACAACAACAGAAACAGTTCCTGGTGCCCCCACAATCTTCAGAAATCTAAGCTAATATTAATTGTTTGCTGAATACCAACTAGTGTGCATATGGTGTCTCCTGGAATCCTTACACAGCTCTGTGGATTAAATGAATAGCTGTTGTCCTAATTTTAGCAATGAGGAGCTACAGACAGGTTAGATGGCTTCACCATCAGCACCCAACAGTGATTCCAGGAGAGCCAAACGTGAGTCAGCTTGCCTTTAAGAAGCTGAGCATCTTTCTCTCTGTAATGCTGCTTCTCAGTTTATTAACAACAGCACCACATTTGAATCATAAGGAAGGCCCACTTGTGTCCAAAATCAAGCAAGAGGAAATCGGAGTACAGTCTTCCAAATGAGTACTTGGAACTACCCACCTCTCACTTATATGCATAAATTCTGCTGAGCTTTCTAGACATGGCAGCCATCACTTATCTTCTACAAGATGCTTGAGAAATGATTTAGCATGGAAACAATCAGGGTATTCATTCTGCAATGCTCTGTGTTGCTGAAGGCACAGTAGCCTTGAGATTCAAAACCGAGGGATTTGGGAGACCTAAGAACCTGTTCTATAGATGCAATCAGGACTCACTCCCTTTTAATAGGCCAAGAGCATATGCAAGCACTCACAGAAAGCTCTGCAACTTCCAGATTAGCTGGGCTTATGCAGGTTGAGGAGGAATTCTTCCAATTCTTTATTGTTTCTCAGGCCCTGTGAATTCTGCAGCTACGTGGGCAAACAGCCTTCAGAGCAGAAGAATAACATCTCTGCCAGGTATGAGCTTTGGCCTATCAACCTGGCAAGCAGGCAGGGAATTAATAAATGCTGGCTGCATACGCAAATAATCTGGGAAACATTCTCTGAGTGCAAATCTCATTTTAATGTCTGTTCAAAATCTGGTAGCTTCAGCTTCAAAGCAATACCAATTCCTTTCAACTTAAAGTTTAACGTGTCTCCATATTTCAGAAAGTAACTATGGACTCCTAAATATGCAGTACGGCAAGAAGGTCCCTCTCAGGAAGAAAATAGTAATAATTGGTATTACTCCTCCTTAATTCTTAGTTACACCAAAAGCAGTTTTGTGTTTTAAATAGAACTTAATGATATATTCTGGTAAGTAAATTAGCAGAAACTAGAACCAGAAAAAATAAGTTAAAAAGAAAAACAAAATAGGCAGTTTCCGTTAGAAGTTTCAAGGTTTTAGATTTGCTAAGCCTCTCTGCATGTCCATGTTCCCGAGCCAGGGCCACCTTAGAGGGAGACTCAGAGGCACACAGAGGAGCCTGTCACCGAATGGAAGGGATGCACAGAGAAGGCAAAACAGACACAGGGTGTCACTCGGGATCCGAGCACCTTTCCTTACACTGTCATTGTTTCAATCTTGTGTTTATTGGGTTTAATTCCAAAGATGGAAAGGCCACAGGAATGTCTTATAGCGACAGGAGTAATGGAGGGAAATTGTTTAAACAAGAGGATGCTTCTAGAGCTTCCATTGTACAACGTGGGCACTATTAATAAACAAACAAACAAAGCAACCAACCACCCCTGGCCTTTGTGGCTCTTCAGCCCCTATTATGTTTCCTCCCTAGAATCTTTTGATTTGGTTGAAGTGCAGGTTAAACAGTCAAGACATGCTTGAGTAGTGTAGGACATATAATAGACTAGATACTCCAAACACCAACAAACATATTTTTAGCATCTTGTTGAGTTTCAGGAAATAAGAATCCTAAATGTTTTATGGTGGGGGTGCCTTCTGAGGGAAGAGATGATAAAACCAAGGCCGTGGGACAGAAGCCACTGTCAGGATCACCCTGCAGAGTGGGGACCCCAGCCTCAAGTCCCTGCCTCGTGAACACAGTGAACATGAGACTCTCACATTACGCCTTGGTCAAAGTGGACCAGAAAGAGCATCGCCTGACAGCAAAGGGGATCAGCATCAAACCCGTCCACCTCAGATGCGGTGCTGCATTGAAAAAAGTAGCAAAAATAATAATAAAATGACCTATTATGATATTAGTAATAACAACATTGCTGCTGAGACTTCAAGGACAGGCTTGCTCCCCCTTAGGCCTGGAGCTCAAATTTATACTCACTTTCTGCTCAGGAAAAAGCCAAAGGGAGAAACTGAAATGACATTAACTCCACAGCACCTCCTGACACCTGGCAGAAGCAGACAGAAATCTTGCCTGGAGGAAAGCTCCCCAATTCAGGGTCATCAATGTTTCTAAGAATTAAACTCAACCAAATATGAGCTCATCTGCACATGCTCACGCACAGGAGGACAAAGCACCCTAGGGAACAGCTGCAGGACAGACAACAGGGCTAGATCCCTGCCAACTTCAGGTGCTGGGATTGATAGGGACAAAAGGTCTAGTGACCACTGATGGAATCTTAAAGGCATAAAAAACAGAAACAAGAGCATATAAAAGGGAACAACAGACTATCTTAACAAGTATGTTTGAAAAAGTACAAAACATTTCTTTCAGAAATAAAAAAGAAACCCAATAAATTTCCCAGGTTGCACACAGTGAGAGAAAGAATAAAACATATTATAAAGAGAGTAAGAGGCACGAGGGTGGAGGTAGAAAATTTAAGATTCAGATAGTACAGAGCTATCAGGGTTGAATGGAGAGTAAGAATCATTCTTTGATATGCTGGGAATTTTTGAGAACTAATGGAAACATATACACTCGATATACAGATACACAGGAACTAATAAATAGACACAGGAGACAGAAACATATCCAATAAAATATTTAAAAAGAAATTGACAAGCAGACACAAACCAAATAAAACTGTGAAACACTGAAATCAAAGAGATAACCATAAAAGCATCTGGTGGCTGGAGGGGTGGGGGTGGTCAGAACACATTCGAAGGCTGGACAGACCGATGACCAGCTCAACAGCAGCAGACAGAGGGTGGCAAGCAGCCGGGCCCAGGAGGGTTTGCATGGCTCGCCAGCAACAGGGCAGCCCTAGAACTTCTGGCTTCCGTGCAAGCTCTGAGCTTGGCCGATTTCACATGACCACTGCGTCGCTGAACGCAGGCCCGGGCAGAGGTGTGCACCGTAGGCCCTTATGAGCCAGGTAAGCTGGCTCCATCACCCACCTGAAGGATTCTTTCAGGTTCTGAGCAAAGATCTCCTTCACATTGGCTTGTACATCTAGCAAAATTATCTCCCAAGAATAAAGAGGAAATAAAGACCTATTTCAGATAAAGGGCCCCTTACACAGAAGAAACGCAAAAGGACTTATCTCTAGAAGGACATCACACCTGGTAGAAGATATAGGAATGAGGCACATGTGAATTAGTGACTGTCGGTCAACTGAAAATAGCAGCATCTACACAGAGTGTTTATCAGTGGCAGGCAGGATGGAATAAGAAACATAAAAGCCCATCTAGAAGGTGGTGGCCGTTGGTTGGCTCACGCCACTAAACTAGACGTCCCAACCTGACTGCAGTTAGGTTTCTGGGCGCACACTGGGCTCTGGGAATTAGAAACTGTTCCCAAATGTGAAAGGCTCTAGTGAGCCTGACACCTTCTACTGGCAGGCACGGCCCTGGTGACAGGAAGTACCCTCTACCCGTGTTTCAGATTCCCCTGCTTCCGAGTCACCGTGCAGTCCTGGGGCCCTGGGCCCTCTGACCCCAGCCTAACATCAGTATGAACCTTGACGGTGGGGGCTCCCGAATCATTGGCACTGACGCCTGGGGAGTCATCGGAAACACTAACAATTCACACCACAAGTGTTGGCACACTTCTGTGAGCAACTCACTTCCCCATGTGAAATCCATTCCTGCTTAAAACGCCTCCAGTTGCTGTTTCCTGCATGTACTGGGATTGAGAGCTCAGGGAAGGGCAAAACAGAATCATAGGCAACACTGAATAGTAAATAAGGAGGCAGAAACCAACCCAGCTGTCCAAGTAACCCAACAATGTAAGGGGGTTCACAGTTGCCAATTCGTAAAACAGAGATGGCCGGATCAGATAATCTGTGCAAGATTCAGCAGCATGCTTTTCACAAGATCAGATATAAGGCTTAAAGAGAAAGAAAAATTGAAAGAAAAAATAATGGGAAAAGGCAGACCTGGTAAATAATAACTAAGGCAAAACTCAATTAGCTGTGTTAATAACAGGCAGAATAGATTAGAGCACAGATATTAAAAAGTTAGAATATCACTTTGGTATAAAAAAATTTTTTAAAAACTTCCAATTCATTGAGAAGATACAAGTATTTCAACCTAGCCTGCACCTGATAAATACCTTCATCATATATAAAATGAAAATTCATTGAACTTGCAGCTAGAAAAAAAGAAAATCACCATTAGAGAAGGGGAAAATCCAAAGTTGATCCTTTTTCAATTGTTGATGAATGAATGAAAGCATTAAGGATTTGAGCAATCCAATAATTGGGTTTTTCAAATCCTAATGTCTTTAAGTAAAAAGTAAGTAAATTTAAGAAAAAAAATTAAGGAAACCTTTGAAATTAATTAGAAAATATGTTAAAACTTATTCTCTTCATTTCTTGGTTAATGTACGTGACTCAAGCTTCTGTAATGTAGATGTAAATGCTGTTTCTCGACCCTGCCAGGCATGCGTCTCAGCGTCTCCTGCACCAGAACTCTTGGTTCTAGACCTTGGATGTGACGGGAGCAAGTGGCTCCAGAAATGTCCTTTATTCTAACATTGCCCACGGGAAAGGAACGGACTAGAGGGACACACCTGTGACTCTGCCCAAGGTGAGCTACCTGACAGCCCTGAAGTTGACCTCCGGGGAGAAGTTGTAACTGAGTTGGAGCTGCTGGTCCACCTGCAGGAAAACAGAAAATACAGCGCATCAGTGGAGCCTGCAGAGCCCCCAAAGCCCCCCACCTGGAAACAGCTGCAACGTGCATGCAAGTGGGCCCCTCTCTGCGGTCCTCTCTCCAGGGAGATGAGAGACGTGTTGCTAATTTTCCCACAATGTACATTGAAAACCCTTTTCTTTCCTCTTGGTGAAATAAAGGCTTCACACAAGTCTTCTCCCTAGGAAATTCTGTACCACTTTCGACCGTATTTATCTCCCCACTGACATCTTCTCACCAAATTCTTTGCTGGGAACAAAAAAACAAATGAAGCCTTCTCTGGAAGTGCCCCAGAGGATGAACATTAAATGGGAAACAGACGCTGGCTCCCATCTTCCCCTCCTTCCAGGCATCCGCAGAGCCATCACTGGCCCCTCTGCCACAGCAGTGCCCACCCTGACCGGGTCTCACTCAGGCTTGGCCCCGGGAGGCCATTCCGGAGCGAATATTTTGGTCTGAGCCTCCGGAGGACCAGCTACCTCACAGCTGCCATCCACCCAAGCTGCTGGCACCCTGCCTCGCAGTGGGAGTAAAAGCCACCCCCGGGGCTCCCCAGGATTCCTTTCCACGCCCTTCCTCCAGGAAGCACCCTTCTCCCGCCCACTGCTAGTGCCCGTGCCCTCTCTTGCCCCTCCTCTTCACTCCAAGGCCCAGTCCTCCCTCCCTGCCCACATTCTTCAATCCAGTCAAACCAGTTTCTTCCAGGCTCTGCTCTGCATATTCATGTGAGGCTATCCTTGAAAAGGATCCTCGTTATCACAGTTTCACCTGGAAGGACAGGAGGCCAAGACCCCTTCAGCTGTGTGCCCAGCCCAGGCCCTGGGAGACACGGGTTCTCCACGCCTCCCTCTGCACCTCCACAGACTGACCCTCGTCCGGAAACCCCAGCCTGGAGGGGCTTCCGCTGGGAGACAAGTCCCTGGCCATGACTGGTGAATAATAATCATACACTTTATGACTATTTCATTTATGAATAAATAAATCACTTACGCTTTCATTTGAATGTCTACAAAACTCTCTCAACAATTGTTTGAGTGTCTACGGAGTGCCAGGCCCTATCCCATGGCCCCGGAGCCCACCCCCTCCAGGACGGCCCCCTCCATGATGCCCCCCGATGGCTCGGGCAGGTCAGCTGGCCCTCTCCGCTGCTCTCCTCATGCCTCTTTTCCTACCTCTAAAGTTGCATTTAAAATGCCTCAAAATGATGACTTGCTTTTCTCTCCCCCTGCCACAAAACTATTGTCTTTCTGAGAACATGGACATCTTATGAATATGTTTTCTGTAGGGCTTACTATAGAAACTGGCAAAGTAACTCCTCTTGTGGGTTTGCCGAGTGAATGGGTGCACGTCTTGCACAGAGTCCCTTCCTATCTGTGGCTGTGAAGGCATGGGCCTTCGCATCCCCAGGGTGCCTCGGCTGCCCTGAAGGGTCCCACACCTGCAGGTGTAACATAGGGTTTTGGGCCTTGGGTCGCCGTCCAGTCTGTTTAAGGCTCAGAGGAGATGTGCTCTTAGAGGGCTACAGGTGGCTGGGGCCTGGGCTCTGGCCTGACAGAGGGGCACCACTACTGGTTCAGGGGCTGGCTTGCCAATGTGGACATCCTAGCAAAGGCGTAGAACAAAAGAGAAAGAACATGGGGGTAGCATAAATATTTACTTTTAGGACTTCTGTATTTACGATATGGGCTACACAATCAAGTATTCAGTGAGAGATTCATTTGGTTACTAGACTTCCTTAAGTTATTTTTGTGGTTTAGTATTGTTTTTGTTTTCAATTACAGTGAGTGAGGTGTTCCGGGTGAAGCATCATAGTCCTTTAAACCTCGCGGATGTGTAAAGTTCATAATCTGGCCTAGTGATACTTGCTGACCTCAGAATCTACGATTCCCACTTGTCTTCCCAAGTCATTAAATGAGATGGAAAAGAAGAAAACAGAACACAGCTCTTTTGAGAGAGCCCTAGATGCCAGGCTTCATGAGTGTTCCTTCAGCTGTGTTTCTTCCTGTGATCTTTGCAAGAACTGTCTGGGCTCAGCTGCATTTGGTATTTACCAAGTAGACTGAAGCTCAGAAATGTGAGTGACTTGGCACAAGATTCACACCCAAAGCCATCTCCAAGGACATAATTAAGTTAATTTCAAAAATGTGCAGAACCTCCTTCTTTATAGTTTGTTGTTATGCTGGCATTTTGGTAAACTGGCTAAATCGGTTTAATGTCATCAATGCATTTGACACAGGACACTGAAGTTCACCCCCCACCACCTGGACATTTCTGGAGACACCTGGGCCTTAAAAAGCACATACCAAGTTTCAATTCTCAAATCATCACCTGGAGTCTTTGCCCCTGGCGACAGGTCAGTCCCCCAGGGTCTCCTTCCTAGAGCCACAAAGGAAAGAGAAGCAGAGAAAATAATTCAAGCTGTGGGTGGGAGGGATCTGTTCTTAGGTCCCAGAGCCCCTACTGGCTGAGTACAGTGGTCACTGCCCACCGCTTTCTCTCCCTGGTCCTGAGTAACACCTGAGACCCTGCTCCCGGGGGCCAGGGGGGCTGCGGATGGAGCTGTAGCCAAACCTTTCCTGTTTGGACTGAATGGCTTGTCCCAAGCTGGGGGTGGGGAGGGAGGAAAGCTCTAGATAGGGTGAGGGGATGGGCGTGTCAGGGAAGCAACCGTGCTGTGTGGCTGTCCCCATAAACTGATTTAAAGTTAATAAATAAAAAGTGTGCCTGCATGCTGCGGTGCTCTGGCAATACATGCTCACCAGTGCCATGAACTGACTGCTGGGAACACTTTAGATGGGGAAGGAAGGAACACCGTGGGAGAGAAAGGAGGGGCCATGTGCAGATGCTCACCTGAGTGCGTCCAGATGGGCCATTAGCAGAGCCTGTGCAGACGGGAAGCCGTCCTCCCATCCCTCCCACCCTCCACTCCGGCCCAGCCCACACTTGCTCCAAAGATTTTCCTCTTATTTCAAGAGTAAATTTTAGAGGTAAGGCCATTAAATTATAATCACTCAGAAATTGTTATTTGTCCCATATAGCTGAGAATTATTTCTGAATTCCACCCATTTAAAAAAAAAACTAGAAATCAATCTTCACTTGCCCACAGCCCACATCCAAAAGTTCACCCACGGCTATTGATGTTACTTCTGAACCATTTCTCAAAGCCCCCGCCACGGCTGCCCCACGGCGCCAGCAAGCTTCCTCAGCTCTTCCCGAGTGGTCCCTGTCTTACATCTCACCCCCCAGGTGTGCATCTCCGGGCAGTGATCACAGAGCACCCCTGAAAAATGAAGATCTGCCCACGCTTCTGCCCTGCCCAAAAGCCAAAGGTTTCCCTTCACTCGCCACAGAGCTGGTTTACCTTCTCCACAGGGTACAGTAAGCCTATGGAAGTCATTCGTTTAGTTCATAAATATTTACTGAGTGCCTGCCCCATAAGGGCTGACTCGATCGGGGTCATGCTGTAAGAGGATGAGCCGACCTCTGCCAGTTCCCTTCCGAGATGTGCCCGTGCCTGCTGCCTGCCCTTTGTTCCAGGACCACTGGAATCCCACGGGGCACCTGCCGTGCTCCTCCACGGCTGTGCTGACGCTCACATGGACCCGCCACCCGCACACTTCCCTCTCTTCCCCACTGAGCCAGCTCATCCTCCCCTTCCACACTCAGGTGACTCCCAACTTCGTCTGGGAATCAAGCACAGATGCCCCGGTGAGATCAGCGTCCCCTCCACCTGTGCCCTGCACTACCTGGGCACATTTTCTCCCGAGCCCTGGCCAGCCTCTCATGATTTCCTCCCCAGCTGTGTGTCTCCCTGCTAACTGCCCACAAAAAGAACTACTGACTCAGTAGGTCAGATGTGGGAATCTTCGTTTCTCAGAAGGTCCCAGGAGATGGTGAAGCTGGAGGGTAGAGGGGAGCACCCTTCAGTTCACCTTGTCTAGCACCCAAAGGCTGCAGCCAAGTTTAGTTCATGTCTATCCCCTGATCTCAGCACCACACTTGGCTTTGGGTAGAAGCCCAAGAATGTTTTGTTGTGCACCAGGGCACATTTGGCTGATGGAGAAGAAGGGAAGTAGAGTACATGAATGCTAAGCTCTCTTCCCTCTTGGATAATCTTCAAGTGGTGCATCCTTCTGTTGGCAAAGTTCTCGGCGTTGATGGTGAGCACCTGGGTTTCTTCCTTGTTTAGCTGATAACAAACTTGTAAGCTTCCTTGAAACAAAAATATCAGAAATTAGAATTAAAAATAGGAACCATAAAATGCAAAAATATGATAAGGTTGTCTTTTGATTGTCATTGTGTTCTAGGAACCTAAGTCTGTCTCGACCCTTCCATCACGTAAAAGTTTAACAGATACGCTGTTATTGTAGCATCTGGTTCTCTGCAGAAAACCCTGAATAGTTGTGAAATAAGTGTGTGTGCATGCACATGTATATGTGCATACATACATGCATGTGTGCATGTATACATGTGTTAGCAGAACTGAGATACCAGCCTGGAAAATAAAACCACCACAAGTCAATTTTGTAATTGGATTCTGAAAACTTTACCAATATAGAGTTAAATACTTGGCCATTCTCACTTTGTTCCCTACTGCTTCCCGTATCTGCCTTTCTTCCTAACTGCCTTCGTGGAATTTCAGAATATGGAATGTGAAATAAGATCATAATGTAATCTTAAGGCAGAACAGGAGAACACAGTTTGGGAGGAGAAAACAGTCGGACTGTGAGTGGACTGTAAGGCCATTATTCAACAGTCAGGAAACAGAAGGAACTTCCTACAGTGGACCCTGGTTGTCCTGACTCATTCTTCCTTTGGGTATGACCATTACAGATTCCCAAATGTTTATTTTGTCACTTAACACTTCCTACCAGCTCTCCAGCCTAGCAGGGCTGGTACTGAAGGGCTGGGCAGGGCGGCACTGCAGAAGTGTGGATGTGGCCAGGAGCCCCACTGGCCGTGCGTGGGAAAGGCCCATCCCGTGCCCTGGGGGGCCCAGTGTGGCACCCTCTTCCACCCTCCGTGTAACATTTGGTTCAACCCAACAACCAAGTCAGTGTGTGGTAACCACACAGTGGTGAGCACCCCTTCCTTGAGGGGCTGACAGCCTTGCTGTCTGCTCACTGTTGGGGTAATTCCGACACACGTGCATATTCTGTGTACATATTCTGTATGTATTTGTCCATTTCAGAAATCATTTCTACTTTACACACCTTTACTGACACTGGCCTCATGACCATCCCTCTTAGATATAATCTCAAAAGGGACTCTGTCTGTGAAAGTTTCCAGAAGCTTCCTCAACATCCCACTTTATGCCTAAAAGACCTCAACCACTTCTTCCAGAGCCATGGAAGTACAGGTCCCGCCTCCACAGAAGCAGTCCAGCTTGCTCCAGGGAGGACGGTTTCCCTGTGGGTCACAGGGACCCCAGGCGATCATCTCAGCCCAGAAAGTTCTCCAGCCTTTCTCAGTGAGCCTACTCCTCCCCCTCCAGAACTCAGCCACCCGCTCTAGGCAGCCTTCCGTGGCTTCTCTAAGGTGCCCTCTCCTCCTGCTGCCCTGGGCCCACCTCTATCCCAGCGCAGATAGGGTTGTGTTGCCTGCTTGCTGACTGTCTCACACATCTGTAAACTGCTTGAGGATCTGGAAATACCTTACCCACCCTTAGGTTCTCACTGCCGGGCTCATGTCAGGGATGTCCCAGAGGATGCATTCAGGTCTGGGTTTCCACCCACTGCCTTGAACCTTCTGCTTCTTGTTAGTGTTCAGGGATCATCTCTTTTCCATTTCGGTTTGCCTTATACGCCTGGTCCAGTGGTTTTCAATTAGACTGCCCTGTCCAAATGATACCTACAGCAAAGGCTATTTTAGAGGAGAGGGAAACGTGGAGCTGCTTGAAGTGATGTAGGAGAGGGAGGCTCTCTCTGGACTCTGCCCCACCCCCCTTCTCCCCACAGCCTCACACTGGCCAGCAGAACCCTTGGACTCCCAGGAGCATAGTGGGAACCCTTGCCCCTGCAAAGTGACAGCTCAGCCTCCAGGGTTGGGTCACATCTTCTGGACGGTGGCCCTCAGCCCATGCAGCAGTGTCCTCCTGCCGTCCTGGGGACCCCACACGCCAAGTGCCCGGAGATTGCATCTGACAAGCTTGCCCCTGCATTTGGCTTTCAGTGATCAGTCCTAGACTCTCTGGACGCCTATGTAGATGTGACTGTTCAGGGAACGAATCTTCTTTGGGCTTAAGAGAAGCCAAGCTCTCCTTTGGAGATATGGCACTTGCTTCCTCCTTCCTTGCCTTCCCTGCCCACCTCCCTCCATCTCTCTCTCTCTTTTCTTTCCTTCCTACTTCCTTAACAGAAATGTGTTATTCTGGACAATAGTTCTGAAGGCTAGAAACCCAAAGTGTTCTCTCAGAGGCTCGAGGCTAGGATCCTTCCTGGCCTCCTCTCAGCTGCTGGTGGCTGCGTCCTGGCGCCCCGCAAGCCCTTCTCTGTCTCTGCAAGGCCGTCTCCCCGGGTGCATCTGTTGGTCCTGTGCTCAGGCTGCTCTGAACTCAACAGATGATAACCAAATATCATTTAGCAAGACATTTTACTGTTCTCCTGCCTGACAGTCCCCTACTCATGAGAATGAGGGAAGTATGGACTAGACACTCAGAATTGAAATGCTCCAATAATATCCAGTTCAGTGACTTCTTGCACTGAGGTTGTTCAAGAACATCGTTTTGTTTTGTCTCATTTCTCGTGCCCCCACCTTCCAGCCATGCTGCTCTGCCCGCCTTCCACGTGGCCCTGGAGTATCTGGCCACGTGACTCCGGCACTCGAGCACTCCCCAGGTCCGTGACTCTCCATGCATTCCCGCTTCTCTGCCTGACCCAGGAAGCCCTTGTCTCACCTTTCCAGCTTTATCACATACATATTGTTCATATGTTAATGATATCTGAACACTCAGAATCCCCCCAAATAATGCTCCTCCTTGCCTCTGTGTGTTTTCTTTCCTGAGCAGGAAACAACCCCCTGCCTCTGTACCTGCCTTGCAAGCCTCTCCTCATTCATCTAGACCCACCTGGTGAGAACAGTGTCCCCACTTGCCCCTTAGGCTGACATGATCTTTCCTCTTACTGTATAGTCACCATGCTCACTCCTGGTGACCAGGTCTATTTATCATTATCTTTGTCTTTCTTGAATTCTGACTCCCCTGGGAGGAACAGCAGCTTATTCATTCTGTGTCTGCAAACAATAGCACAGGGCTGCTATCTTCAGGCTCCAGGGACATTTATGGAATATAATATCCACAGAGAATGTTATCACCACCTCACCAAAATTATGAGCTAATAATTACTCAATGCCTATGGTGTGTCAGATACAAAAAAAAAAACAGTTCTAATCCTGAAGTTCTGTCTTCAAAGACTTTATGATCTAGTCAAAGGGATGAAGCGATGTTATACTGGCCTACTACCATATGCCTGACCTGTGTAGGGATTTAACCTGGGAATGAAATATCTTCCGTTAGATCCTCAGAAGAGGACATAGAACTCCAGAGAGGTAAAAAAAACTCCACAGGTAAAAACAAAAGGGATCTCATAAGGATTTTTAAAGAGATGCGTGACTGGGCTTTGCCGCACACAGTCGTATTTTAAGAAAATGACTCTGGGTACCCAGAGTGCATGTCAGAGCAAACGGAGCCGTGGAGGGCTCCCATCACTCAGAGGCAAGGGAAGGCAGGGAAGGCACCAGCTCACCAACCCACATTCTGGGTGACAGGGTTTGGCAGCTGCTTGCTTAATCATCCTATGTCGAAAAAGGATCTCTTCTACCCATGGAACCCTGGCCCACACAGTACCCGTCCACATCCGTCCCCACACAGGCCGCCCCCCACGCACCCTTCAGTTGCCACTAACTGACTGTCCCCACCAACTAGCTGCTATTCCAGCTCCACTGGTTGTGCAGGTCAAACTGCAGGCATCGTCCCGGTTTTGTCCATTTCCTGCACCAGGACCCCTGCACACAGGCTGCATATCCAAGTCACCAGACCCTGGGCTCCAAAGTCCTGCCTTGCTGCCTATCTTCCCAGCTCAGCCAGCCAATCACCACCATCCCCTGGGGACACGACAGCACATCTGACCTGGCCTCCAGGTCCTACCCTCTGCCCCGCACCCATCCGTTCTCCCTCCAGCAGTCAGAATAAGCCTTTACAATCCGATGCCACAGAGTGAACTGATTTAACCGCTTCCTGGTGCACTTGGAATAAAACCCAAATTCTCTTCCATGGCTGGTGAGGTTCGGTACCATCTTCCCCTGCACCTCCTCGATCTCCTTTCACTGCACATTTGCCTCACTTTCTGGGCTCCAGCCGCTGTGGTACCTGAGAAGCCGAGTTCACTGCTGCCCGCGAACCCTGCCCCAGGTTCTCTCTCCCCTGGAATGTGCCAGAAGCCTCTGGATCAGATGTGATCCATGCACTGACGCCTCCCATGCGTGCACACCTGCCTCGGTTCCTCCAGGAAACAATGGCTTGTTGGTGTGTCGGGGAGTCACTGCTGGAAGTCAGTATTTGTTACTACAAATCAATGTAGCTCCTCCGTAATTCCAGTTACAAGCACCACCTTTTCTGACTGCATCCTCCTCCCTCTCTGGTCCTCTTCTTCTAATGTCCAGACTCCCACAGTCCTTAGTGTAAGAATCAATCTCGCCAAGCAATGTTCCTCAACCCCCTTATGCCCTCGGTCCTCCCAATCTGACAGCTCAGGCTGCCCGCCCTGTGCCTGTGGACTCTCCTGTATAGTCTTACTTCCCGTGACCCATTCTCCCTTCACTGAGTGAAGGGATTTGCTTGGCAGAACCGCGAGCGCTCAGATCTAGTCCACACTTCCTGCCTTCTGCACAGGTTCACTGGCAGAAGAAAAATGCAAGCTGTGCAGACTGCTAGCAAGCCTCTCCGAGTTCATCACCACCAACTTCAGGCGGGCCTTTGTTCCGTCTGCTCCGCCTCAGTGCATTTCCTACGCCCATCCACCCACTGGCGCAGACCTCCACTTACCGTCTCCTCTTCTCTGCCCAGGCCTCCAACGGTGCCTTCCTCCCCACTCTCTGCTGATGACCTTGCCGTCTGCCTCCGTAAGAAAACTAAAGCAATCAGAAAAGAGCTTCAAATGCCTGCCACCGTATTTACTGGACTGTTAATTTCTGAGCCCAGATGTTCCTTCTTCCTT